TTTTTTTTTTTTTTTTTTTCTCTCTCCTCTCTCCTCAGAAGGTGTACCGTTACAATACCCCTATTCCATCACGAGGGTACGGACGCGTACATCCAATGGCTGGAGAACAATCGTTATGTTTTGCATAGCTTTGCCGTGATAGTTACTAGTTCTAACGGGTGTCCAGCTAGGGAGCGTCCCAGTGTATGCTCGCCCGACAAGTAAGGTGGCCTAGCGGTGTGCGAACTGACTAGTGAGCCCATACCCGCACGTATGGGCTGTGTGTAGAGTATGTGGTACATGTCCAAATTACCCGTTAGAACAGCACCGTAGGAAGACAGATTGAAAGATAGGTCCCATCATCTCATTTGCATGTGATTGTTGCATTTAACCCCAATAGTGGGGTCACTTACGGAGTATTTCTTTAAATACTCAAGTTATGTGCTGCTACATTTTTTAGGTTAAGGCAAGGTATTCCTGTACGGCCGACGACGGCATCGCAACTCGAGACCATGACACATGCATAGGATATTGGTATTTATTTTCTTAGACTTAGGCTAGAATGAGATGTTTTTAACTTAAACTCTTTTTTATTTTATTTAGTCTTTTATTGTGTCGTTTTAAGAATGTTTTCGAAAAATGTAAGTCCATAGCTGTGTTTTAAGATAAAGATTATGTTTTATGGAATTGAAATGAAGTCTTCCGCATTCAATGTCTATGGTAAGTATACAGAAACAACCTTAACGACACATAATATAGCTTATCATTGCCTAATTAAGTAGAAAATTTTGGGTCGTTACACATAGCTTATCATTGCCTAATGTAACATATCATAGTACATCATGACATCTCATAAGATAACATAGTTTATCGTAACATAACATGACATTTCATTTATACCATAATATCATTTGACATATCATATAACGACACATAATATAACATCACATATCAAAGCATATCACACATATGATACGTGCAGGCCACTAGGCACATGTCATCATACATAAACAATTCTTTCAACCAAACAGATAGTAGAACCACTTATTTGGTTGGCCTATGTCAGAGTTACTAATTATTCTTTGCACCCACCTGAATCTGCTCCTCCAGGTTCAATTCAACTTCAGATCCATTTTTTGATGATATCAATTTAAACAAAATGACGACAAAGGTCAGCCACCTTGTAGTCCAATTATTGAAAGTAAAGAAATATCTGGACATATCTATTCAATTTTTTTCCCTCCAAATTAAGTCTATTGTTCGGTGTTTAAAATTAAAAATCATGTGCAGTTAGTTTCTTATAATTTGAGTTGAATATTTTAAGGTATATTGAAGTTGAAACTAAAGTTAAGAATTGAAAATTATGATTGAATTCTATTGCGTTTTTTCGGAGAGAAATAAGTGCGTGTGTATACATTTATATAATAATTAGCCTAAATAATTCATTTAAATTATTAGGTTACTAAACTTTATTAAATATTTAACCCATTTTTAATCTTTTAATTTAGATTAATGTTTATTGTATGTCTAAGAAATAGGGTGCCACTTTGTATACTTAAAGAATTACTAGTATAAATGAAAATATATGTTTTTTTTTTAATAATATTACATTAATTTGTGCCAACAATTTTATATATTAATATATTTTCTTCTTTCTTGTTCCCATGTTAATTTGGGCAATTTTAGTAGATTCTTAATTTTTTTTTTGTAATGGCTATAGTGATGTGATTTTCTAGAACACTTAAATTGGTATTTAATTTTCTAATCCATTTCAACTTGAACCTAACATAACTAATGAAATTTTGACTAAAAATGAAATTTGAAAATTGATTTGCTTCGATTCCAACTATAACTATTTTGTTTGTAATATTGATAGCCGGATAAATATAACACCCCAACCGAACAAACCGGAATTAAACAAACATAGTTTAACTAGTTGATCTTTTCACGACACTTCAAGAAACACTATTGTACCTACTATAACATTTCTTAAACGTTATAGTAGGCGATGTAAACTAACGGTAGAAATTTTATGCAATATTAAAAGAACTTATTTGAAGGTTTATAAACCTATCATTTTCTGGCCTATCCGGTAATGAATTCATATGGTTTAAGTTTTGTAAGAATAGTTGGAGTCCTACCTTAGTTAATTAAGGAAAAAATCATTTATACATGAGTGAGGGCACTATCTCCATTCGTACTAGACATTTTGGAAAAACCAAAAGAAAAGTCTCTCCATTGGTACGAGGCATTTTGGAAAAATCAAAAGAAAAGTCTTAAGAGGTTATTATCTCAACTTTAGCCATGTAAGTAGAATTCTCAAGTATCAAACAGAGAAGTTATGAGTTTCATAGACGTAATCATAGTGACTCATGTTGTCGAACAAAAGAGTGTACTTTATTCGAAAAATTGGCGAAAAGAATGTACTTTATTTGAGAAATTTGAAGGGGCTAAGAAGGAGGCAACACTATTTTTGGCCATTGAACAAAATCCATGTATATAACGGAGGAATCTATAATTAGCACTTTCCATCACATAATAAGCATATTTGAAGGAAGAAATTCTTACTACGACAATAATCAAACAGTACCAAAGCTTAGTCGTAGTGATTTATGTGTCGAACAAATGTATTTTATTTCAAGACATCGAAAATGAGTTGAGCCTCAATTAAGGAGAGGTTGTTCGAGGATCAAGGAGGCCTTATGCTCAAAATATACAACACTTTTGCATGACAAATAAGCAGACGTGGAGGACGAAATTTTTACTACGACAATAATCAATCAAATATATAAGAGGCTTTTCAAAGAAATACAAAATGGCATAAACGGAATGGAGGAGATAGAAGAATTCTAATTCAGCAACAAATGACAAATAAACTTAGAATGATAGCTTAAGGTAATGAGAGGGACGCAAGAGTCCACAAGAGGACAATTTACATTGTAGGACAACAACAAGCTCTCTAATTCCTCTCTATTTTCTTATTCTATTAATTTTGTATGATTAAGATGTTGATTCTGTTATGAACACAACTTGAAACACTCATCCTCTTTATTAACACAAATTGAGGAGATTAACTCTATTGGGCTATTGGGCTTAACCCGGTTGGGCTAGTGATGCTTCTTTGCACTTTTCATGTACTCACTAATGACTCTAACTCCATTTTCAAATCTAGGGTTTGTTCACGTAAATCTCTCGGTCCAACTCTCTATTCAATAAAACATTCTTCATATTCATCTACCATAATTTCCAATTCTTATTTACCACAAGTACTGGATGTATGATAGTGATCTTCGGGACTAGACTAAAAGTTTCATCATATTCTAGTCCATATTGTTGAGAGATTCTTGGGGCTAGAGTTTGAGCTCTGTACCTCTTGATTGGTCCATTCGAGGTACGCTTTATTTTGTAAATCCACTTCAAGAGATTGATTTGACATCTCCTAGTCTTGGTATGATATCATCTCTTAGTCTTTGTACAGTCTGAGCTTTTTCGTTGCTGAAATTTCTGCTGCGAAATTTGGTGTATGACCACCCCTATAGGTTTGAAATGTATTATAGACCCCAAAATAGAGAAAATCTTTAGGCCAAAGTTTTGGGAGCAAAGTTGAAAATGAGATAATAGAATATATATGAAGGAGACCTTGGAACCCAATCAAATCAAGAGTTTGAAAATATAATAGTGATGGCCACTCTAGAGAATCCTTGTTAATACTATTCATTTAGCAAATAATAGGGAAAGAGCAATCAAAGTATAACCCAGTTTTGGAGGTGCTAAATTCGTGCATTATCAAGTCGAAAATGCAAGCTACCCACTAGAAATTGATTTTTGAAATAAGGAATAATCCAGTAGAGAAAATTTTGATCAAGTATTTTCCACCCACTAGAAATGCACAGTTCAAAAATGAAATTGTTGTTTTTCAACGGTTTGAAGATTAAACACTAAGTGAAGCTTGGGAGAGATTCAAGGAGATACTTAGAAAGTGTCGACACCATGGACTTCCCCATTGTATCCAAATGAAAACTTTCTACAATGGACTGAATATTGCTACTAGATAAGTAGTGGATGCTTCTGCTAGTACAACTATCTTACGATGAACTTATGAAACCTTAAAAAGAATAGCATCTATACAATGGTCAGTAGACTAATGTGAAGAGCAATCTAGGAAAGATTCAATTTAACTACCTAGAAAAAAAGAAAAAAAGAATGGACTAAACTTGACTAAACATTTACTTCTAACTATACCATGTGTTAAATTTAGGAAAAAAATGTAACTCCGTGTAAATCTCTAATTAAAAATAATAGACTTCAATTTAACAAAAATAAAAAATGAGCCTAACTCAATTGGATCTTTAAATAAAAAACATGGTTCAATTTAGCCTAAAAAGGGAAAGTAATAGACCAGACTTCGACTACTAACTAAACACGAGGGTTCAATTTAATTAGAAAGAGCAAAGAAAGGCAATTAACTCAATCATACTTCAATCCCTAACTAAAGATCAACATTCGATTTAACTAGAAAGGTACAAGAAATGACTTGACTCGACCATGGTTCATTCTATAACTAAATACAAGGGTAAATATTACAAAAAGAAAAAAAGAAAAGAAAAGAAAAGAACTTAACTCGAAAAACCTTCAATGTCTAAATATATAATAAGATTAAGTTTAACCAAAATGAAAAAAAGAATACTTATGAGTGATAGAAACCGTCAAAATAGTCAATCAATAATAGAAGTCTATATTGATAAACTATAAAAACATTATATAGTTGATAGAGTTCATAAACTTGTTACATTTGAAAATTGTGTGATACATTGACAAATAGAAAGTTAAAGACTTTTCATAACATTGCGTATATAGTAGCGTTTTGTCATCATTATCATTTTGAGTATCACCAATAATCATAATCGAGATTTTATTTAAGAACACTATACAAAAAGTAGTAAAAAATTCTTATTATAGTAAGAAATTTAAAAGTTGCTCCAAAATGGAAAAAGAAACCATCCAAAAAAGACAACAATCATGAATACTAATGGAATATTATTTGTATATTATCTATGCAAGTCTGACATTTGACTCAAACAAGATATTTTCATCAATAACAACTCAACGATTATAAATAATTATCGGCATGTTTCTCAAAATTGCTCTTACAAATTTAATGCACATATTCTTTATTTTCTGTGTTACCTAAATTTTGTCAAAATAAGTCTTTTCATTACTGTAATAACTTTCCAAAATTACCACCACTTTTTGAATTAGTTTTAAATAACTTTCCAGAAGTATTTAAAAAAGTATTTTTAACCGTTTAAAATGTGACCATAAATGATAATCATATCTATTAGAACTACTTACCTGCAAAAGGAAGCATGCATTAGCATTAGCCTATAAATATCAGTCAATAGCTCTTCCGTTTTCATCTTTCACATTTATCACAGATATTTGTACAATTCAGTTTTCATATGGCTCTCTATGAAACCTTAATGCTTCTTCTTTCCCTTCCGCTACTTTTACTTTTGAACCATGCCTTGGTTGATGGATTAACCTTAGATATTGTTAGTCTTGGAGCCAAACCTGATGGAAAGACCGATGCCTCGCCTGTACTTCAAATAGCATGGGCCAAGGCTTGTGACTCGACGAGACCAGCTACTATTCACGTGCCCAAAGGCATATTCTACGTTCAAAGTGGGAGCTTTAATGGGCCTTGTAAGAACAATGCTATTACTATTTGCATCGATGGTACTCTTGTGGCTTCCTCGACATTCAAGTTCTAGCTAAAACTAAAGCTTGGATTGGGTTTAAAGACGTAAATGGGCTTTCCATTCATGGTGGTGTTATTGATGGGAAAGGATCTGGCATATGAGATTGTAAACACTCAGGGAATAATTGTCCCGATGGAGCACGGGCATGCATTATTTAAGTTGGCTAGATATAACAAAATTTAAAAATTTGTCTTTAGGGAAAAGTTGAAAGAAAATGGATTGTACTAATTCTTGCTCTGAATTGTTTTGAATTTGTAGAATCTTGAAATCACAAATGCACAAAATGTTATCATCAATGGATTAACTTCAGTTAATAGCCAAATATTTAACATTGTGGTGCACGGTTGCCAAAATGTGAACATTCAAGGAGTGAAGGTTTCGGATCCTAGCAATAGTCCGAACACAGATGGCATCCATGTGCAGGAGTCATCAGATGTGACCATCCTCAGTTCCAACATCGGCCCCAGTGACGACTGCATCTCAATTGGTCGAGGGACCACCAACTTATGGATAAAAAGTGTTACATGTGGACCTGGGCACAGAATCAGGTAGGTGACAACAAATAATTTTTGGAAATTATTTTGTTGGTATGAAAAATATATTTGAAATTATAAAATCAAATATAAAATTAGATTTTGAATGAATAAAAACACGTTTTAGAAATTTTTTTTCTCTTGAACATGGTGATTTTAACTATTTCACTATTTGTTGAATATGTGTTTGTAGCATTGGGAGCTTGGGAAAGTTGGCGGATGAGCCTGGAGTGAAAAATGTGACAGTTACATCATCGACTTTTAGCAAGACTACGAATGGAGTGAGGATTAAGTCTTGGGGAAGACCAAGCAGTGGGTTTGCTACGGATATTCATTTTCAACACATTACTTTGGATAATGTGAAGAACCCTATCATAATTGATCAAGATTACTGTCCACATGACAAAGGTTGCCCACATCAGGTATATTTTCTCATTAATCCTCGACAGGTTGACTTCTTACAAATTATATTTAACTTTAAATTTGATTAATAGAGTTTAAATTTTATATTTCATGCGTAATTTATTTATTTTTTTATCTTCAACGAGTTGGAATTTATCTTGTTCAAGACGTGTGTTAAATTAGGAGCATTACTTCAGCTACACTTTTAGGTAATGAATTGTGGTGGACAATGTAACATTCACATATCTTCAAAAGAGTGTTATATTATTCACTTTGATCAACGTAAGCTTTTATGGCTTTATTTTTTTAGTTTTCACATAAAAGATCTTGTACCATTCGAGATAGTTGTCTTTATTCAATTTTCATGCTATATTTTGATTGTTCTTGTTGGCATGAATAGGATTCGGGAGTAAAAATTAGCGACGTAACCTACGAAGATATCAAGGGAACATCAGCCACTAAAATAGGAGTCAAATTTGATTGTAGCCCAACAAATCCTTGCACTGGACTCACCTTGGAAGACATTAAAGTGATTTATGATGGTCAAATTGCTAAAGCTTCATGCAAAGGTGCCAAAGGAACTACCTCGGTGTGGTTGAACCTGCTAGTTGCTTAGAATAGACGAACTTAATTTTGGGGTTAGCCTATTAGGTAGTGTATTACAAAGGTGGAAATTGGAGTTTTATTGCTTCAGCCTAATAAACGCCCTCTTATGAATTTGAATATTGAAAAATGTTCTCCATAAAAAATGTACCATTAATTTTTAATATAGTAATTAATTGGTGTGGAAAAGCGTGTCCTCTAAATTGGTTCTCAACTTCATTTCATTGTCCCTAAGTTTAGATAGATAATCAATATTAGCCTTAAAATCAATGCAACTAAGCCATAAAAACTCAAGGAAATATCAACGAAAAAAGTTGCTAAATTTGGAAATTCTTTAAAGTGGGGAAGAATGTATTTTATGTTACATGAGAAAAAAAGTATTTTATGTTTTTGTATTTATTTAATAATAATCTTAATCATCATCCTCAAATAATTTAATTTAATAAAATTATATAAACTAATTACATACTTAAATGGAATAATTAATTATACTTCTTATATTTCAAAAATAAAATATAGTTAGTTTATCTTACTCGTTCAAACATAAAAATATAGATATAAAAATACATTTATTGTTCTAACAGACGCGTTTTAAAACCTTGTGGGAAAGCGCGAGAGGGAAATCCCAAAGAGGACAATATCTGCTAGCAGTGGACTTATGTTGTTGTGAATGGTATCAAACAAGACACCGGGCGATGTGTCAGTGAGAACATTGTCCCCCAAAGAGACAGGATTGTGAGATCCCACATTGGTTGGAGAGAAGAATGAAACATTTCTTATAAAGATGTGGAAACTTCTCTCTAATGCATTTTAAAACCTGAGGGGAAGCCTGAAAGTGACAATATAGAAGGGAACAAAGCATTTCTTATAAGGGTGTGGAAACCTCTCCCTAGCAGTCGTGCTTTAAAACCTTGAGTGGTAGCTCGAAAGGGAAAACCTAAAGATGACAATATCTGCTAGCTATGGACTTGGACTTTTACAATTTAAAACTTTATTCTCTTATATGGGTTTTGAATTCGAACTTGGACTTTTACAATTTAAAACATTATTCTCTTAGATGGGTTTTGAATTCGGGCAAATTGGATGTGTATTACTTCTCAACACACATGTGAGTGTGGACTCTATGGACTGTTTTTGGACACCTAGAGGAAATAGTGACCGTCGTAGCATCATGGTAAACATGATGGTCATTTCAGTCTTATAGTTTACTGTGTCTGTACTCATGATAAAGGGGATGTATTCTGATGCACATATTATGATGCACGAAAACAAACAATTATACATGAGGTCCCCATATTTATTTATCGTGGCATAATAAATCATGCAAGACAACCTTCATTCTTTCATCACATATTACACTCAGTGATGTGCCTACATAAAATTCTTATAAAATCATTTCATTCCTAACATAATTTTCAAATCATGGCATAGAGGTTTTTCATCGTATTTCCTTATTTCAACACATAACATAGCATATTATGACCTAACGTAACATATCATAATACATTATGACATTTCATAACATAGCATAGTTTATCGTAACACAACATGACATTTAATTTATGTCATAATATTATTTGGCATATCATACAGCGACACATAACATAACATCACATATCAAATCATATCACACATCTGACATGTGGAATGCACTGAGCACATATCATTATACATAAAGCAATTCTTCAAACCAAAACGAT